TCTCAAAAAGTACTCGACTACATTACTGTTAGTTATCCATGTCAGTGACTGGAAAGGAACCTACGAAATTCCATGTCGCAAAGCTTGCGCATAATTACGGCCTAACCATGACCTAACTACATGTAACTCTGTAGATGTGGCAGCGGCCTATTTATAGAACCCGTGAACCTCGTAATTCGTCACCTTCGAATCCGGCGCTCTCGCTGCGCTAGCTCGAGTGCCACGACCCCTTTTAGGCAGCTTTATTTCGCCTCCACTCCATTCGCCTCGCCAGCAGTGTCGGAGGAATTTGTAATTATTTGACAGAATGAGAAATGACGATAAAAGTACTCTCCAAAAAAGCTACTGACGTCATCGGGGCCATTGCTGACCGAGAAGTCCCCCCCCCCCCATAATAGCCCCTACAAAACTGAACAGGTTTTATGCCTTTTTACGTAGCTGTTGTGTATTTTCCAATTTCAGAGTGCTTTACTGAGGGTTTGGCAAAGCGTTTTAGACGACCCCCAAACGACTATGTAAGCTCTTTGTGTTTTCAAAGTGTACTGTCCCTTACACCACAAAACCCCGTATAATAAAGAGATGAGGGCAAAGTGTTGGCGGGGGAGATTTTCTTGTCGCCAGTTGGACAAAAAATATCTAAATACTTCCCCAGCTAGCGAAAAACTAGCTCGTCAAATGGCTCCTCTATTATTGTTCAAGGACTATTCTTCGCCCTCTAGTCGTTGAGCTTACAGGGTCGAATTCCCGTTTCTCGAAACTTTTCCCTTCAGTTAAAGCAGAGAGCAATGCACGAGGCCAGGAAGATAATCGAGTTTGGCACTGGGGTTTTTCCTGCAGCTCCCGAAGAATTTAGCCTCAGGCAGGGCGCATTTGTCCCCATAAGGAGACAAACGCGCAAGGACCGCCTTAAGAGGGAAAATGGCCAATTTACTTCCAGACTTTTACTTAAGAGACTTAACTTGAATACCTGGGGCGTTTTATATACCGTTGCCATGGCAACCTTATCAGAGATTGAAAAGTACCCCAACCTTGAATCAGATGTCAGACGATTTCATTAAGACCCGATAATATATTATTGAGTTAGTTACTGAAGGCCCTTGCTTGAAATAATGTTGGCAGAACGAAAGCTATATGCGCGGGGAATGGATTTTTTTTCTTAAAGACAGAAAACTCAAAATACCGACATATTGGTGACCGCGAATGAAATGGAAACAACAGAACGTAAGGCGAATGTGTAGCAAGATCATATCTGATCGAGTTACTGTCCAGTCGCGTTTTGATGCATATTGATGCACACTTCATAGCTAACTGGTCGACTAATCGTCCAAACAAGGAACACTGGGTGAGCACCCACCTTCACAAAAGTCATTCAATAATTGTATAGCCAGAGTATCGCCGCGGCATGTGGTTCATTGATCCTGGATACCGTACCGGAGCAGCCGTAGGCCCGTAACCTTCTTGGCTCAACAAGCAGCGCACGCTGCTCGTGGGAACGAGACCCAGGAACAGAGAGGGGCAGGCATCGACCCGGTCTTGGACCCTCTCCAAATTATGAGGGGCGACAGCACGGTGTTACCTTACCCCTCCGTCCAGGGCTCGAGGAAAAGAAAAACACGAGAGGGTTCATTTCTGAATAATCGCTCCATGGTCCATGATATTGGCGATTTGAAGAGTGCGACAATAATACTCGAATCGCCACGACGATGGAATTTGAGTTTATGGCTTTCTCTGAACGTTACCGACAAGAGCAGTTGCGAATTTATGCAGCTCAGACAAGTCCATTCCAATAGATACCGCTGCGGCGCGGAGCTGCAGGACTAACGGATTTTGGAAATGCAGTCGACAGGAGAGATATGACCTGTTTGCACGGCATGAGGGTTTCACTTCCAAAGCGATTTGGGTTATTGCACTGAGAACCCATCTGCGAGGTCCATGTTTCAGGGAACCCCGTGCCCAATATTGACAAATGAAATCCGTGAATAATGTCCCGTAACTACAAATTATAGCATGAGGAAAGTTCAACAAAGGAAGCAAAAGAGCTAAAACTGAGCAAACAAGTACATTCCCACATTTTTGACGGTGGTGGTCGTCTCCGCTCATCAATTGAAACAGTTGTGTAACCAAGGGAGGGGGACATGGGGGAGGCAAGGGCACGCAGCTCGAGGCCAGTGCCCCCGCGTGGTCCCCCGCTCAAAAATTCAAGTGATAGTCCAATTTGCTCGGTGTTCAACCGTAACCCATTGAGCGCCGCCCCCGCCTGAAAACGAGGGTCCACCCTATGCCCCCTGAAGAATGCACCTCAAGTACGTCATTGATTACTGAAGACCGTTTTTTTAAACCCAATTCTGGCCTGACCTATGCCATTCTAACACATTCTGGTTTTATTTAGATATTATGACGTGACAGTCCAGAAAACACCGGGAACGAAAAGGGTAGATACATGAGCCTATGATGTTTGATGAAAACTCGAACTTCGGTAGCCAGCAAAGAGGTCATATAATCCTCCACAGCCCGCATGCGCGAACAAAATGGATTTTGCGGGTCATGTGAGATCAGACCGCAGTTCAAACGAAACGGTTACACGTTGCGGGCGAGGATTAAATGTTGTTTTCACTCCATTCGGGGGGCACGCGGCTTTAAACGGTGCGGAAAATGAAATGGTTTCAAATTAATCACGAAGAGGTATCCTTTGATCTGAAGTCAAGCTTAAGGTTGCACGCCCCAGGCCCTCGGGAAGTATAAAGAGACACTGTCTGGGGATTTTGAGAGTCAGCTTGAAAGATTACTGAAGGTCTCCTTTTTTGGGTGCGGGTTTGCGTTGAAAAAAAAAAACAGAGAACCACAGTGTGTATAAAAAACGCAACAAGATTTCTGTTCAAGTTTGTGAAAATTGTGTTAGCTTTACACCAAAGTGAGTAGTAGCACCTTAAAGCCACATATCTCCTCTTGGGACAAAATGGGCTTGGGACCAAGTTTCAGTTTAGTTACACCAGCATAAATCTTCTTCGATTCTCCGTCTCTCGTATGAAATGTTCATTCAGGCGAGTCATTACATCATCTCTGGATCAAATGTGTGTTGCATTGATGTGCTTGTTACAGGTTATCACAAAGATATCCCGAAGAAGGCAATGTTAAGTTGTGATTATTCATTTCATTATTCCATGTTGTCAAGTTAGTTTCTAATAAGATGCCACGGTTATTGCAGTGTCTAGGACTTGGTCCCAAGCCCAATTTGTCCCATTGTCCAAAAAGAATTAGTCGGCCATCCATGACCGTGTATGAATAAACAACATATTATTGGAAATAGCAGATTGGTGGCTTTAAGGTGCTTCTACTCACTTTGGTGTAAAGCTAACACAATTTTCACAAACTTGAACGGAAATCTTGTTGCGTTTTTTTATACACACTGTATATCATGATGCTGCCATGTTTGTCTTGTTCCCTGATGTAGACCTATTAGCAATAGTTATGCATCTTCACATATTGATAAAAGGGAAACGAGTATTTTACCTTCCAACCTCAGTTTGGTTACATTGGTTTGAATGGCAAGATGGCTGCCTAATAATAGAGGTCTATATGGGCCTGGACTGCGAGTGATGAAATAACGGAAAGTGTTGGGTATTGATTTCTCAAGCTCTGCGTTCTTGATCTTAGCTCTTTATACAATCAAGAAATTTCATCTTAGAACGGTTATATCAGTTGAGTCATATCCCTTTCTTCCCAACCTACCACCAGCACACCCATTTTGATTCAATAAATTCAAAATAATTGCAACCATCAAGGTCAACTTTAATCACAAACATCTCCGGAAATTAATTTCTCGTGACCTATCTCTCAGCTCGAGAGGTAAAGGTATAAAAGCGCTCCGAGTGCTGCGACAACGAACAGGTGGATCTGAAACAAACATGCAGTCGTATAATGATGCAGGAGTACACACAGACAAAAGCTTTCAGTGATAGGCCTACTGGTCAGATTTCAGTGATTCATATTTCACATCAAGAAAAAACGAATACTTGTACATGTACAACATGTACACTTGTCTATACGTAGTACATGTACACCATAAAAGGTTAGTCAAATTCGGGTCGATATTTTGCTTTATGTTGGTATAAATATCAACCTTTGGCAAATTCTTCCCAATCGTTGGTCAACGTTTGACCAACAGTGATGGAAATTAACCAACAATGTGGTAATTTTAACCAAGGTTGGGCAAACAACAAATGCCCAACACCGTTTGACCAACTTTTTTTTTTACAGTGTATTAGATACTCTTGAGGTTATCTTTCTCCTTTGGCGGGAAATACTCTGACATTTAAACTCCAGATGAAAAAGGTGCAAAGGTCAACTCTGACGAAATTTATGGGATTGTTCTGTACCTTCATACCAGCCAGCAGGGTAAAATCATGAGCGGGTGAGTGGACGCCAATTCGAACACACCAAACAAGAATTTCGACCTTCAACGAAGTTTGCGTTTCGCTCTGGCAGGCCGACGATAAGAAATAATTTGTTGATGTCACCAAAATATCAAGAATTTCCAAACTGACACAAAAAAGTGAAATATGTGTGACGATAAGTGATAATTTGTTGATGCCACCAAAATATCAAGAATTTCCAGACTGACACAAAAAAGTGAAATATGTGTGAATGCGGTACAGGAAGAAGTGGGATTGAAATCCCACGCTGATCTTCAAAAAACTCTTTTAAACAATCTGGATGTTTAAAGACAGAGTGGCTAGTCAAGGTTTTGGGGTGGGGAGGGGGCAAAATAGGGACTGCCCAAAATACTTTTGTCCAGTTTTTCGTCCGTAGAGGAATCCTCAGCCTCTCGAGAAATGTGGCACAGGTACCATATGCAAAGCGCTGGCGATTTCAAGGTTTTGGATAGAATTTTAATTCCGTAGGAGTTTTTTTTTTATTCATGCAACCCACAACAAATCAGCAGCCTATTCAATGTTGCAGCGTTCGCCTCAAGACCTTGTCGACAGCGGACAAAAAGTATTCACTCACGATTGTCCGGGAACAAAGCTGAGGGTGTGAAATGTCCACGCCTCCGTCAAACGGTGCGTTGGTTTTTTCTGCGACTGGCTTAGGGAACTTCTCGAAAGATTGCTACTTTCCTCACGCGTCGTGACCAAGAACCAACATGTTATTTATCCAGCCATTGGCGTGATACCGACAAGACATCCCCCCCCCCGTGACTTCATCCGTCTGTTATGAATCAGCCGTTGCTCTCCTTCAACTCAAGATTTCATATAAGCTAGGAACGAAGTTTTGCTTCCATCTTTGCGCCCCCCCCCGTTTCAGGAAAAGAAAAAAAAACGATTTCAAGGTAAGATGTGTTATCTCGACTCTGTAACTGTTCATCTGTCCAAAGTTTAATCAAATAGTTACAGAGTGGTTTTAAGCTATTACAGATTTTACCTTGAAGACGGTGGCTTTTACAGGGTACAGAAACTCAAAGTAGCTTTTAAACTAAAATATACACTGGGTATTTAAAAGAGCATGCATACGAGGAACATATACACGGTGCAAGCGATTGGGCTACGAACGCCAAGCATCTAATTCTCTGCCAGTGAATTTCATGACGCATCAATCATTGTAAAAAGACACATAAAGTGGAATCTTCCAGGATAATTTTCCCTGATCCATCATTCGACCAACGAACGCCAGCCAAATACGGATCTGATTATCCTGGGTTGTCATACATCTCATCAAAGTATCTTTCTAGGGAGGTTATTCCATGATGTGTGATGATAAATGGAAGTAGACCTGGCTATTGTTGTCTTTATAAATCGTCCTCACTTTCATATGCTGGAAGGGAAGATTATGAATGGAATGCAACTTACATTCGGAGCCTCCTGGCCAAAGACAATGTTTTTGTATTTACGAATCGTGCGACAAGAAATGTAAACCAATCAGGCTGGATTGGAATGCAAAGATTGTACCCAGCATTATCGACGAGCAAAGAGTGTAGATGTTGTTGTAGATGTCTGGCCAGGATTTCGTGTTGAACCAATCCACATGTGTATCACGTGCATGCACATATTTCGCTCAAATCGGCAACGTGCCTCTGTACCTTTCTGACCTCAAATAATAAAAAATAAATAAAAATAAAAATCGTTAACTACCCAGCATTTCCGATGATGGGCAGTTACTTTTTTTTAATATGAGGTGCCTTTTGTGCTTGTTATCGATCCCTTTGATATTGATACAGTTGAACATATGAACAGCAAGATGATGGGACAAAGGTCTGATGGATGAACCCATATTTCGAACTGATCAATGCAGTTTATTCTTTGGTTCCAGAGATTGTCGATACAGGAGCTGGTGCAATGTCACCGAGTGACAATATCTGTTGGCTTTCATTCAGCATAGAAGATTGACGATGCATCCCTAAATGGACTCCCTCGAATGGATACACAGATAGTCTAACCTCAAACCCCCCATCCCATCTCAGACTCACAGTTTGCCATGCAAATAAATTGATTTTCTTGAAATGTCAAATTTTGAAATGAGATTTTTCTTATATCTCAAGACTAATCTTCTCCCCCCACGCCATCTGAAAGAATGCGTTCCGAGATAATCCAAATAAGCAGTAGCGTATCCAGCTTTTGGGTGTCAGCGGGGGGGGGGGAATTTAAAAGCAAATGCGGCTTTGGGCTGATTTGAAATGATGTTGGAGGAGAAAAAATATCAAAAGCCTTTTTCATGATCCCGAAATCCTAGCTTTTATTTCATATAAAAATATTTGATGCATAGATATTAAAATAAAAATTTGATAAATATATACTGAAATGAAAATAAAAGTAAAAATCCGTCGGGGGAAAAGTTGCCCCCCCCCCGGATACGCCACTGCCAACAAGGGTAAAATCGAAAATATTCGAAATTTCATGCCGAATGCTAGCAATGCCTTACCTCACAGTAATCCATGGCAAGATCCATCTTTCCCAGCTTGCGATAAGGCGTAGCCAGATTCAGCTGAACAATCGTCCGTAGTTTGGGGCTCCATTCCTGCCCCCTGCACCTCACCAGTTCGCTCGCCTTCACCGTGTACCTCAACGCCTTGTCATAGTCCTTCAAACTGATGTACACCTCTGCCAGGTCCCCGTAGGTGTTGCACTCCAACCCCCTGTCCCCCGTCTTGATGGCCATCTTGAGAGCTTTGTCGAAGTTCTCCAGAGCCTGCTGGAAGTGACCGAACCCTAGATTGGCATTACCGAGGCAGAGGTGGATCGGGCCCACCAAAGGGTCCTCCTGCGACGCGGTGTTGTTCATGCTATGCCTGGCGTACGACATCGCCTTGTGATACTCACAGAGCTTTTCGTTAGCCCGGGCCAGATTCAGATAGGCCTCGGCCCGGAGTTCCAGTTCGTCCAGTTCGTTGGCAATATCGATTTGCTGGATAGAGTATCCCAGCATCTCTCGGTAGTCCCCCCAGTCACCGTAAGCCAAGGCTAAATGTCCCAATATGACAAACCTGAGGCGTTTCTTGTCCCCAACTTTCCCCAGTGCGGCTTTCCACTTGCGTACTGCCTGTTCCTGTTGCGTGTCGTTATACAACTTGAGCCCTTTCTCAATCTGTTGTTTAGCCGCTCGCTGGCCCATGTTGACACCCGTGTTGACACTCACCTGGGCGTAACCCCTTAACAACGCGTCCCGGTCATCCGTCTTCACTTCTATGCCCAAGTTCCTGTGTCGAAGACGGTTGTCTTCTTGTGTTCAAACAAGGAAGTAACAAATAGTAATTTCAGGGTACTGAGTGTTACTGTGAGAATGATCTCGTTCATACCTCCAGACTCAAATTGGCATCGAGAAAGAAAATATGAGATGAAATTTCCTTTATGACCAATTTATATGAAACAGTGAAAATGTTCATTCAAAAAGAACGGAATCTAAACAAAAATTGAAATAATAAGCGCAATAAAACAGGTGTTGGTTAACATAGCTAGCTAGACAAACGTTTTCAAATATCCATAGTTACTTCATGTTTAAGTTTCATATTAGATTATGACGACATCAATTAAAATGTGTCCTTTCAATTCATATTCCAACACAATAACAATAAAGTTGTTCCATTTTCGGAGAAAATATTCTAAAATAATATTTTCATGAACTGATTGTGGCACCTGACACCCAGCAAATCCTATTACATGTAAAAGAAACCGAAAGTTACCTTCAAGGATGATGTTGTCATAAAGGAAAATAATTTACTAGCTTACGCGACCATGAAGCTACACCTCCAAGCCGGCGAAAGATTGCGGAGACTTGTCAGCAGCGGCCCACGCTGAGTCGGATGTTATTAATGTGGAGACGGCTCGGTGAAAGGCATGCAGTTAATATTACGTATAATAGTCTAGCCGTGACAACTGGCGGCGTCCTTGGTCCAAACGGCCTGGAGTAAAATGTCTAACATAACACAGTGCACGCCATTCTTCTTCATTCCATTCTTTCTTCTTCTTTTTTATAAAACTGCAATGCCTCTGTTGGCGGTTGTTATTCTTGTACCCAGTGACACGAGCCGAAATCATAACAATGTTATGCGTCAGGGATGGGCCGCTCTATCGTCAACAACATTTACTCAGCGGGGCAGGCACGTCCGTCCTTATCCCCCTTGCGAAATGGACCACAAAAAGCACATCAGTCACTGATAAAAACTCCATCGACAGAAATTCCTTGCTTCACTCTCCTGGACGATCGAGGAGACTGGCACAAGCGCTCAGTTCCTAATGATACCTTTACTTATCACAAGCCTATCATAACTAAGATTTCGGTTAATGGAACCATGGGCGATGGGTTAATTTTACTCTCAGGAAGGTAAATCCCTATGCCTGACGTCGTCGCGTGGACTGTTGTGATTATCGCTGGAGCGGACGATTCAAACAAAACACATGGGCTGTACTTCTGGTAATATTTACGAGCAAGCGTGTCAGGGCTCAAACGCAATCAGGAAATTCTTCGGTGATGTTCGAAATGTGTCAATATCATCGGCCGAAGTGCAGCGGGCTGGGAGCAATAATTTCCAGCAACCAGAAACCAGATGACGAGCGGGTGATGTGCAGATCTCTGTAGCTGCAGTGTGCCATGTGCTATGCAATGAAGTAGAAGTCCAATTTCCAATTGGCGATCCAGCTGATTAACGTATTAATAACCAAAGGCCTTAATGAATTCCCAGGCGAGAAACTAATTAAAAAATAGTCTGAATGGCATCGGTCGTCTACGTGTAGACCTGCATGCAAACCTCTGCCATGCAGGTTTTCCTAAAGACAAGTAGCCTAATGGGCCTACATGCACTCCAGAGCTAGACGTTTGATACTATCCTCCATGCCCATGAATTTCAAGTGGAATCTCCTAAAATGGGGGCCCCAACATTCACTCTCTAACGGTGACGTCATCCAAAGTTGCCGTCATCTGCGCTTAAAATTCTCTAGTTGGCAAGTCCGTTATTTTTATCCACTTATATTTACCAGGTCAAGCAGTATACTGTCCTGCCACGCTGTCCACTTGATTTCATAACGGCATCCACGTAAGATCGTAGAGCTAGCACTGCGGAGTTTCTGTTGCTCTCCGTCTCCTTTGACATTTGCCAGCTGTGATGCTGAGTGACTCTCTGGGCGTTTTATCTTCGAGGATCGCGCTTTACCACTCAGACCGCAGAGTTCCCCGGGTATGAGAGGAGGAATGTCACCTCCAAAATGCCACCACGATACGTTTTCGATTTCTACGCGCCTTCTGGGCTCGTTTATAACAATGGACAACCTGAGGAACGTCATGCAGATATGAAGAAAAAACGAACAAAAGTCAACATCATCAATATCAAATGATGCAGTCTGGGTATGACATAAAGTGAGTTTGGAGTTTTTGCTTTGTTTAGTTTTTACTTGAATAAGTAAACCTAGCTGACTGAAAAAACCTTCATCCTGTGGCGAACGGTGACATGTTCTGGAATGATTCCAGAGCGGAGATTTACAGTATGTATGTACATTATACATGTACATGTACATGTCGTACATGAACGTGCTGTCACTATGCCCTAGCTAACGGACGGGCACAAAATGGCCCGTTACTACAGAACGACAGACGACACCAGCCCAGATGAAACGCCCTCTGTTGTGAACTGGCTCACTTTCACTCACTAGCACACAGCTAGTCTCTGCTACGTGTTTTGTAGGTCGTTTGATGCAAGGAATTTGAAGAACTGCATGTCAAATCACAAACCTACATGTATCAATGGACAATATGGTCAACTTGACGATTATAAAATTATCATACTGTATTAAAATTACAGTAACCACTGTGATCACTTTTCAGGTAAAATAAAGGTCTCAGAAAAATCATGGCGAGAATATGTAACTTAAGTTAAACGGGCCTGCTCAAGCTTTAAAAATCCACCTTTCAGAGTCAGTTTTGTATTTGGGAATGACAGCCATTTTGAGTGACCGCATCACTCATCCAATAGATTTTATAGCAATCCCAGAAATTTATCCAGTCACTCTCTCAAACATACATCCCTAAAACCGATGGTTTGTTTTAAAAATGGGCACACAAAGCTAAACCTCAATTTTTAGTACTGTTAGTGGAGGAAATCTGGTCTTTCCGGAGTCCTATTATCCCTTATAAAGGATCTCCACTTGGGAAAAAAATTCAAGGAGAAAAATACCTCTACTTTTCCAAATGATAGCACGACTCACACAATATCCACTCCCTCACTCATCAATTTTATTCTACAATAGCAGCGTATTGTTGACTACTCCAAAGACAACCATATGAAACCCTAGGTAGTTGATCAATGACTCTAATTTCTGAATATTTCAGAAGTTTTGCTGTTCAAAATTTCGGGAGCTGTAAAGTTCAACTAAATTTGCTTTCTTATCAGTTTGTCGATTAAGTAGCACAGGGACACTGAATAAATACTAACATAACAGACATGATGAAAAAAGAGTTGGCTTTGAACCTACATGCGCAGGCTATAAGATGGCATGCCAGCACTCAACAAAACTTGGTCCTTCCAGCCCTACTCCAACAGCAGAGAGGGATAACTCAGTTGGTATGGAATGACCAGTAGCCTGGAGGCTGCGGATTCAAACCCTGCCCTGACTTACTCCAGTTGTCAGGTCATCAACCCTCTATGCATAAACCATGTATGGTATCCTCTCTTGCAATTATTGCAGGTGATTTAAATTTATTGTGTAACGTATTTGAAATGTGTAGCTTAAAATTTTTAAGAAACTATGACAAAGCCATTCATTTAATTTATTCATCTATTTTGGAGTCATTGAAAGTGACACCTTATGGTTTGTATTTGAATTACTTACAGAAAATATATTTATACATGTATATCATTAATTAGTTACAATAATTTGTTTCGATCATTTGGGCCTGCTCTCAACTGAATACGTGTACATGACAGTGTACTTAAACATGTCCATTAACAAATATAAAAAATACCAAATTCATATACATTTTAATGTACATAGTGACCCACCAACTAAAACAATTCTTTACAGTTAAAAAATCGCATCTTTGTACAACACGTCTTTCAACAGGTAAATGTATACAGACACAACTATTCTTAAAGTTTGATATACATGCACAAAAACGTGCAGAATTCCTGAGCCTCAAAATTCACAGCAATTAATACGAAGCACATTGACTTAGACTCCTAGGACAACAGATTCAACCTCTCCCTTTGTTTGTGCAGATACATTGAGTTACTCCAAAGAGAGTACAACATGCTGATTTTAGTGAGCGGTGTTACAATCTTTGACAGCCGAGGACAGATAAAGCAGCAGAATGCAGGGAAAATCCCATTCAGGGACTTTGTTATTATTTATAGCAATAGAAAAACAACATGCATAAACTGCAGCGATTCCAGAGGTCCGGTAACAATCGAATTTTCAAACAAAATATAATTGAACCTCGGCTTTTGCAAAAATAACTCTTTCTCCCCTGTTTGCGTAAGTATGGCATCCGAAAGCCTCCACACCAGAGTAGGTTGCAGTCCATCAAATTACGTCCAAAGTAGGAGCCCACAGACTAGTACTGCATGGACTGTTGTCCGTCAGCTGCCAAACACCCAACAGAAGAATCTGCCATCCCTTAGAAGTTTTCTAACGAATTATGCGATCCAAAATTTGTGTTTCACGTCAGGCAAGTGAGATCTCTGGTAATTACATCATTAACTTTTGGAACAAAGAGTGGGGCAAATCTCCAGCCACTGAATATCTAATTGAAGATCGCAAGCTCCAAGTACATCAACCGATGGCAGTGCCTGCCGAGCCATACTGAGGACATATGGCTATGAGGCGGTCACAGAATCAGGGGGCCTTGTGAACTAAGGGGTCCTCGCAAACTCACGGTAGCACCTGGGAGCGCAAATCGTGCTGCTTCTGCTCTCGGACGGCCAGACGTAGGTCCTTGGCTTCCTGGTTCTTCTGCTCCTTGTTGTAGAAGAATTCCCGGCGCCGGATCTCATTGCCTCGTCGCTGTGCATCCCGTAAGGCCTCCTGCTCACTTTGCTCAGAGAGTTTCTGGACATGCCGCCTTGTCAGCTCATCTTGCCTCTGCTGTTTAATCTCCTGCGTGGTTCATTAAAAGGAAAAAGGTCAGTCTTTCTGAACTCCACCCAGTTACGAAACACTTTCAGATCATTCAAAGAACGTTTTCCTCGTTCACAAGTGTAATTAAATTTTCACTAGAGAAGGTCAACCTACATGTACTCTCTACATGTCTGTGATGAAACCACCAATGGCTTGTCTATTTTATGAATTTGGCTGAGCTTTCCCAGGTAAGCTCATTCTGGCTTGAGAATGAATGGCACTTTCAAGGTTCCAGAATGCAAAACAGAGGGAGACTGTGTCATTCAACCGGCATACATGAGGGTGCTGCTCGATGCAGACAGGACGAATGGCATACGCGTTTGGCACTTCGTAATAAATGAACAATACCGATCAAGTGACAATCCATTTTTTTGCAAAGGACAAAGGAGCAACAATTCCCCCCACCTGTCTGCGTGTGATGGCATCCTTGATCTCCTTCTCCCTCTGGGCAGCAATCTCCTCCCGCCTCTGGCTGCGCTGCCGCAGGGCCTCCACCCTGCCCGCCTCCCGCTGCGCCTCCCGGTTGGACCGCTCTTGCTGCTGCTTGGCGATGCTGGCGCTGACCGACCTCTTGGCCTCCTGGATGCTCCGCAGCTTGTCCTCACTGTCCCGCTGGCGTTGGACGTCACGCCTGGTCACGTCAGCTGCAAATCTCCTGTGCAGTCAGACATAACAGAGTAACGCTTAAGGAAAACAGTCTCGCTTAGACTGAAATTCAAAAGGACACACACTAAAAACCTCCATGGACTAAATTTCTGTGTCAATCTTTTGTTTAACGGTACTCGGCTACATCCTGTACAAAATGTAGAGACACAAAGCTACTTTTTCCTAAACACTTCACAAAAGGGAAAGCATTATACAGGGTGTGTATTCAACAACTAACTGCAGAAAGGTACAGAAAATTCACACAATTGGACAGCTGAATCACTTTAATATTCAGCAACTCAAGGAGTCTTACTCTGTCATTAGTTGCAACAAATATGCGCCCAATGCAATGTGAAAAATGACATAGTATGTCACCCGTCCTCATGAAACCCCAGAAAAGCATCAGAAACATATTGGTGTTGATTTTTTCTTACTGTGCAGTTGTCAAGTTTTGATATATTTTATTTACAGTATTCTTTGTAGTCAATTTCAATAAAGTGGTGTGTGCCGTAAACCCATACATGGCTTTTACAATGTTTAACTACCCGGTATGTGAGCATTCAGTCAGGGAAAAGCAGAGCAAATTAAAAAAAAAGGAATTTTAGGTACATGCAAACAGCCCTGTGAAAAATCCAGAAATGGTTGATTCTTCCCCTCAAAATGAATTCATACATGTACTTATGGAATGTTGATACTTTTTTGGGATTCCTTTGGAACAAGTCAATGATGGATCGCAATTAAATCCAGGAAATGAAACCAAATACAGACATAACATACAAATGCATGTGAAAAAAAGTAAACCACTCCACCACGATGCTACTGCGCTAACACTCACGAATGAACACTACATGTACAAAACACAATTACAATACATTTATAATTTCTGCATGAACAATAAAAAGATGCACACTACAGAAGGTGATTCATGCTGAAATTCTGAAAGAAATCTGAAGAAAAAGAGAACGAAAATGATCACAGTGGACATCAGGCAATGACAAACAATTCAGTCCATGATCAAGCATGCTCTACGTTGAAACAACTACATATTCTACTCGATGATGATGGTTGAGCATGGCCACACTTACTGATGAGATAGCTGTTTAGGGATGGCGGAGGTAGCCATTTTGGTTAGCGTTTCTGTTGCCATCTGTGATTTGACCTCAGCACACACCTGTGATGAGTTTTCTACTGCCCTAAGAACTGCTTGGGTTTGGGCCTTTCCTGAGCTGTTACCGAGTGAGTTCTGTGTGACTGACTTCTCAACTTTTGACTGCTTTTGAGTGACTGATGAGCTGTGCTGGGTAGTGGTCGAGTTGTGTATGACTGAGTTTTGAATAATCCCATGATTTTTATGATTTTGCATTTGGATGCCCTCAAACTGAGTGATAGGTTTCTCAGTGAAAAGCTGTTGTGGATTTGGTTGGTTCTCAGCACCACTGATTTCAGTGACAGCAACATTATGCACTTTTGATGAACTTGAAAGCTCCTTTGAGGTCTGCGCTGTTTTGACAGTAGATCTCTGATGGAATCTGTGAAAGGTACTTTTGCTAGACTGCACAGATCTTGTTGGGGGAATTGGTTTTGCAACCTGAGATGATTTCATCAGCATCTGCTGCATGCTCTGCATCAATTCTTCTGGGTTAGTTCCGGGATGGTAATTTTCACTGAGCAAGGTAATCACTGAGTTCTCTAAATCTTTATTGTTCATTTTGTCCACAGTGGACTTTGTCACTTGGACAATGTTTTTCTCTCCTTGATTGGTGCATCTTTGTAGCTGAGATTTTGCTTGGAGAGATTTTGTCCCGTAACACTGACTGCTGTCATTCTGAGCGGCAGCTACATTGCCGTGTTCAGTTTCACCTGTGCCGCCCACCTGAAAAGTTGTCTTTGGTGTGGTAGAAAATGAGTGGTACAGGATGTAAGGGTTGAAAACAATCTGCCCCCTGTGGGTGTCATTCTTCCCTGACTTATGGGGAACATATTCTTTTTCTTCTTTGGTAGCAGGTGGCGGTGTAAGGGTCTTTCTCTCACCAAAAACTACATCCCGTACAGTGAGTTTTTCTCTTGTTTTCGTAAGTGGCTGAGAGCCATCAGTGATACATTTATAAGATTGAGTTGTGGGCTGTGTACTGTGTGACATGTTATCTGGATACATGATTTCAGATTCAGGTATTTGATCTGAGGTCACAGTATCTGTGACTTGTGTGGCTTGAGCGGTGTCATATCGCATTGTTAGGGACTCCTCAACGGCAACTGATGCCCTGATTATGACGATTTCAACAACAATGAAAAAAATAAAGACAGGGAGAAGGAAAGAAGACAAAAGAGGCAGGATCAAAATCAGTCAAGAGGTTGGGGGAATAATACAACCAACTGTAAAGTAAATATCAGAAACTTTATCCAGTGCACAAAATTATGAGGACATCTGATGAATTCCTCAAACTTCATGTCGTGTTGCAACATTTCAATGCAAATGTTGCACATCTCGCCAAGATATTTTCAAGTTGATTCAAAAGAGTTCATCAGTGCAGATGACCATGACTTGGTCTAAGTTGGTGAGTACGAACATAATAAAGAAACTCTTGGCAGTCTTACGGATAATAAAACAGGCTGGTTTCCAATTGAGAAAACTTTGAACTGTGAACTGTGTCATTTTGGAAGAATGATACCAGTTATTATGCTGCTGGAACAGCAATGGGCTTGGGCATCGACTCTAGGAAACCGCAGTTACAATGATCATTCTTGTGTGGCACTTTTGAGATGTATAACAAATTCATGCATCAATTTTGCTGGATATAAAAGTGCAAACAGGCAAAATGAATTTGGTCCAGATCCAGAAACTCTTAATTTTATTCGTTCTGTCCATCCCACACGGCAACCTGCTGACTCTGTTAACCCTCACCCCATAGGGACCACTGAAATCCTGCATAACCTTGTTGGGTTCAGCATGACTAGGGTTAATAATGATGAATGCACCCTCAATTAATTGATATTTAATAACAAAGGATGTGTAAAGTTTGATGAGTGTGTCGGGGGGGAGGGAGTAGTCTTCGTAATGTCTCTGTCTTCAGCTTCAGACTTCCCTACTTCCCCTTCATGAACTTAATCCCCTAAGTTGAGGCCTGTGGCTCAATTCAGGTCTATTTTCTGTCTAAGAAGCATCAATTTATCTACTGTTAGGTCAAAAGTTATAGCATTCTCCATTGAGTCTACCAGTACGTGCAATTGATTATGCAACGTAAGATCAAATCAAAGGAAAGTTGCAAAGCCAGGACCTGCAAAAACAAGGCCACATGTGGCCTCTGTAGTCACACCAATGGGCATGATTCATTCAGGAATGGCTTCTTATACAAAGGCTTCAATTCAAGGAAAAAAACCTGTTCCTTCCCATGTCGATCCATTAGGAAACGAATCTGATCCCATGTGTTTCAATTTCACTAAGTCCGTAAGTGATACCTGCACGTGCCCAGGCATATATATGTGGATCTAACGATTTTGACAGGTTGAAAATGGATGGAGCATTTTGCTTTGTTGGCAAAAAAAGCAGGGAAATTAACACTCTGTCAGCACACATCAAGCATGAGGTTTTGCTGCTTCTAAATGTGCACACTATCTATTGTTAAAAAGCATTTCTATGGTCTTATGGTTGGACATTCGTATTGAAGAAAAACAACCCAATTCACACTAACTGATGATTTTTGAATGCTGGCAATTATATCAAAATCTTTCGGCAAACATGGTGGAACTTTCCAATTTTCACATGTACATATCATGGATGAAAAATTCATACCCAAAACCTCTGGGCAATTGTTTATTTAGAATTTAAACAAGACAAAGGACTAACCTGCATCTCTGTTCTTTGGCTTCCTTCACCCGTCTGGCGTCCATCTCCATCTGGGAAAAGTGGGCCTCCATCTGCATCACCTGGTTTCGTCTGTAGAATTTGAGCGAGAGAAAACTGAACAGTGAGAATTTACCTTGTTTGTAACACAGTCCACTTGTTTTCACTGGGCATTACACAGGTGGACTGCAAATTTTTTTCCAAACTAGTTAGTAACACTTTCGTTTTCTTCAAACCAAACAGCACATGTACCGTAATACTTAAGTTCTTGAATTTAAAGTCAAGTACATGTACACTGACTTGTCTTCAATCAATGGGTTCCCATTTGTATAGAAACACACAATACCACCGTCAGGTCATTTACAAACGGAATAAAATTATAAAAGCTCTACTTAAGTTTACCTGTATTCCAGGTAGGCCTTTTCTTTGGCCTCACGGACCATGTCACGACTACCAATTTTCCGATGAGCTGGGATCACTTGCTGCCTCGTGGCACCATTGGGTGGATGGGGATGTTTCTGTATCCACTCCAAATGGGCCCGATCACTCTTGATCTGGTGGTTGACCGTGTTGAAGGCACTGCTGCGGTTGACCGGGCCCATGTCCACTTCGGGGTCGTAAGGGGGCCGGAGAGGGGGATGAGGGTGTCTTTGGATCCATTCCAGCTGGGCCCGGTCGGTCCTGATCTCCTGGTCAATGCTGTCCAACAAGGCCTGATCCTGGGCTTGGGAAAATGCTGTGATGGGCTCTGCCAAGATCGGTTGTGCCCTGGCCTCCGCAGGTGCACTCAGGACTGTATCACGAAAGGGCTTGGCTTTGGAATTCTTGTGAGATGAGGGGCGAGACGATTTGGAGTTGGGGTTCCAGTACCGCCAAGGAGGGCGTTCATCCAAAGAAGTATCCGGGTGGTAGTTGTACAGAAGGCTGTAGTCGGTACCGACACCTGAGTCCCTAAGTGATAGCGTCTGAGTACCAGTCTCAATTACATTTTCATCCTTTTCCTCATCCTCTGATTCTGATTCCGACAGCAATTCATTGGCCACGCCCGGAGCAGCAGTACAGGACCCGATACCCGAGTCCATCTCCCCCTCTTCCTTTTGGAATGAGACACTCTTACGCAAGGTTCCCGACTGTGGTGGGGACACCCTCTGCCTTGTCTCCCCAGATGCCTTGGGGACCTCCGGCATCGTTGGGATCATCTTGTGGTCCATCAGCTGCTGCATCACCTTGCGGTTCAGGTCCTCTTTGGTCAGATTAGTGCCCGGGATGAGTTTATGCACCTCCTCGCTCTTAACAATACTCTCCCTTACTGACGGCATACGGAATCCAAACGCGGGAGAATCGTCGGGGTAGACGGGAACATAAACAGGGTACTTGCCCACAGCCTCGTAACCACCCATCAGGTAGCCAGTCTCCTGAGCTCCTGCAGTGGTTTTGGACAGGTACCCTGTTCCAACCCCTGTCCTGGAGTTGTACCCTGGGGGTAGCATGACTGGGTAGTAAGGATTGTTGACAAGGTACTGCCTGGCAGTGATGGGCATCTGTATTTCCAGTTTGATCCTCTCGTACAACTTAAGCGGAATCCAGATGGATGTGTGCTTGGATATCTTCTCTGTTTTTCCGTCAAAGAAACTGACAACAAGACCTTCAGAATCTGCAGCACCTGCATGGGCCAAACAATGAAAAAAATTACTGAACACATTTCCTTCTTGGTGAATGCAAAAATAACCACTATTAACAAAACCCAATCCAAGAGAGTGGGATAAATCTTTTGAGCAACACTTTTTTTCCTGAGGATTCATCAAAAGCACCATTCCTTACACACGTCTCCTTAGGTAGGTACCGTTGTACAATGTACTAAACCCTCCGTAGCAATTAGGCTAAACCAAACAGCAATTAAATACATTCTTGAAAAACCTTTTCAGGCTAAATTCCATATCATAAAGCCATCCAGAATACAGCTTCATGAATCATAAATACCTTCTCCAAACAAACATGGTGTCATCCCCCTTAAGCAACGATGCAGTATTTTGAAAGAACAACTACCATCAAATTAATATGAGAAGTGACGCTTCTTCACCAGCCAAGCTGCTAGCAAATATGCAGCAGCAACAATGGATTTCATCTTGAGTGTGTATGTTACTATGGTGATGACCTGCAGCTTAGCAACAGGCACCCGTTCATCTTCATAGCAAATGAGAATTTTCACCAGCAGGTTGTCCTTGAGCTTGAGGTTATTAATACGCATGCGTCAATAATATAACTTCCATCTCTGCCGGTTATGTGTACACGTGGATCAGGCAGCATGCCTTTTAATAGTAACTAAAGTCTATGCGCAGCATGGATGGTTTGGTATCTGATGGGGGGATGATTACAGCGGTTGGATAACCCAGAATGTGTGAACCACATGTAACAGCTGTGGTCATTTTTGCCATATTTGGTACTGGCTCGTATCACAACAAAATGACCATTTATAAACAATTAATACATACTCAGTAGTAGAAACACAGGAAGGTGTTTTGTGAAATTGGAAACACATTAATATCCAATATTTTTAAATGGAATGAAAGCAGTTACTGGTACATTTTTATGAAAGTGCCATCATATGCATTCTGTTGAAAATCAATGTTAGACAACCGTATGTGAGAAGTAAAATATGTGTAGTCTATTTCTGGTAACATATCCTACTTTTTCAAATTTCAAGCTTAGAACCGCCTGATTACAGAGCAGTCTACGTGACTTGCCTGCCTCTTCCCAGAAAAATGTCACTTTAGCAGGGAAAAAAAAATGGACAGCAGTGGCATTACGTAAACTTACAGCCTGATGACCTCCCCTCAAGACCTTCTAGTACACTCCCAGGGGCGTAGCGAAACTGCAACTTCCCATGAGGTGCCAAGACCTTGTCCCCAGCCGCTACTGAATGCCTCGACGCATCATTGTATGAAATGATATCATAGACTGCTGTCTCTTGAAGCTGCGGTTGTGCCTTTGACCTGGGCTCTTTGTCAAACTCAATCAGGAAGGTGTGGTTGGCTGTCACCTGTCAACCAAGACGCCAATAAACAGGGTTCGTTTAAGACCTCAACCACAAGAGAGTAACATACATGTATAAACACATTATGAATATACAAATTGTACACAACTACATGTATCAACTACATTTGGAAGTTTACATAGGGTACACTATAACTGTAAGTGTTTAAAAACAAGTTTTAGATTTTTATCTATTCCTGGCAAACCAATGACAGTACATGTGTCTAGTTACAGTATCTTGTAATGTCTGTGACCGTATAGTCGCCAGGTCCCTTATTTCGCCACTTAGTGCGAAAACCAAACTTGACAATAGATATAGGGACCTGGCAACTATACAGTCACTGGCGTTTTGTGTACTGAAAATTGTAATTTCATGTTTACGTAAATAACTTGAGTTGATCAGAAAAAGAATGGCTTGGAAGAATTGGTGCAGTCTTAAATATTGACATGAAATTCTTTCAGTCCAAGAAAAGTACATGTACATGCAACTTTTATCGCATGTGTATGTAAAAAGGTGCTGTCGTGTATCCACACAGATGCAAAAGCACTGTTCATTAATTGTTCTGAAAGGTATCTTCCACATCTTACATACATGTACCTGTTGTTTCACATATCCCAGGCAATAGAAGCCATCTTTATCTCGTCTGGCCAGGACCCTCATGCCTTGCAAGAGAACGCCACCAGTCACCGAATTACTGTCGGCGTTTGCCAGAAGCTTTCGCACAAGTTTGGCCGTGGGCCGGTATGTCTCCCATGTGAGGTCTGGGTAACGCAGCTGAACGTTTTCTGTCCGAATGACCCTTGTCGGAATGTCATCTACCGAGATGAGTCGCTGCTCAGCAGGATCATGGTCTACTGACGTTGTCACGCTGCACATTTTTGTGGCCATTTCATCAGACTGGTCGACGTAGGTTACAGTGTTTGATCTTGGAAGATTCGGCAGAGTTGTCTTGATGCTGGTTGCTGGTATGCCATTTCCTGCCGACACGTCATACACTTTGACATTCCTCATTGGTGGGTTATCTAGAGTTGTTGGTGGAGGATTTGGGATTTGTGGCGGAGCATGGTCAGAACAAACAACTACTTTGACTTCCTCTATCGAGCCCTTGCTCGACAGCCTGACTGTCTGGAAGGTCCCCGCTGTTTCTGTTGCAAGAAAGGTGAGAAATTCACAAGCAGGGAGGTCTGCTATTCCACCGGCCAGGTAAATGGCATGAACCGGGCGGCCATCACTCACCAATGCCACGTGTTGAAGGATTTCCTCTGGGGTCTGATCGGGAAGTCCGTCTGTGACAAGGTACAAAGCCTCACAGGCACGGTCTGCAAATCCAGCCAGAAGGGCATCCAAGGTGTTTGTTCCTGTCTTGCATCCCAGATTTTTGACCCATTCAGCCGCCACCGTTACAGTCTGGGGGGTACACTTCACCATGCAGTCTGCCCACGGGACCACCTCAGAGGAGAATTCCATGATGTTGAACATTGAGTCATTGCGCTTGAAAGAACGAGCCAGAAGGACCTCTACCAGATGCTCCTTGACAACCTCTAGGTAAGGATACATGCTACCTGAGGTGTCCACAAGGAAGGTGATGCTCTTTGCCTCCAGATCACCAAATATTGTTGGAATGCCTTCAGGCCGAAGAACTGGTGCGTCTGCCATAATTGATAGTCTCCTTTCAACACTGATTGAAATAGTCTTCTTTCTTACACTTATACACTGTCATAACTTACTTCACATATATCGCAGTTTTCCGGCACAACTTTTCAAGCAAACTAAGGTTGGGACGTAGTAGTCTTGCACAGGGCGCACGTATTCCACCTCCGTATGCTCAACCATGTCAATGGACGTGATAGAAGCAGAACTTGTTCCACAAGAAAAACATGAAAAGCTCCGATTAACAAACCATGGGTTTTATTCTTGAGAGCGACGACAACCTCAGATTGTTCCTCTCCAAAATTATCAGAAATCAAAACTGAGTTGGATCTGTTTTTAGTAATTTCACATGAATCGATTCGTCCCACTAGCCGAAGGTGGCACATGTGTTGGAACCCAGTCAAGCATTGTCATTGAGGCATAGGCAAAAATGTTTTGATGGCCGTTGTCAAGGTGCGTACACTAGGTACACACAGCGCGATCAGGCAGAACTGCCATTGTTGTGTACGGCTACGGCTGATTGCTATTTTGCACGATACTGATAATTGAAGCCGTAGCAGAAAAAATGCACGACTCGAACAGAGCGAGTCAGCAGATGTCTGGTATCCGTTTCCTTGGATAAAAATCGAGTCGGACATAATTTATACCACATGGGAACAGTCTAAATAGAGTTGTCAATGTGCCGTTTTCGAAGTCGCGGCTTTGTTACAGTTGCATCTCGATTTCCAGAAACATTTTCAAACCACTGTCGATGCGGTCGGAACCATATAAAGTACTCGAGCGTTTTGCCGTTTTGTTTATAAAGCATAAAGTGGAGCCAAATCAAGTCGCAGTGTCTAACCAGAGGGGAAGAATTAAGTGTTGTAGTACACGTAGTCGGACTAGTTGCGTGGTTGGTTTGATTTAGTAGAATGCTTAAATTGAAAAAAAAAACTTTACAAATAATTCACTCTGCCACTTATCTTGAACACAGTAATCCTCTCTTTTATATGTATAAAACCCTTAAAGTTAACAATATACATTCTCTTCACCTTAGGGTCCTGATGCAACAATTAAACAATAAAAAAATTACCTAAATCCATTTGTTCTATGTTTACCATAAATGAAGACGTGCACCAGCACTTCACCAGATAAACTTCATCAATCCTTTGCGCCCACTGCTCTTACACAAAACACAGTGACACATGAGGGTCCCAAACTGAGGCATTCCCTAGATGCCTCTTTAAAGAATATTTGGAATCAACAAACATTCAAACAAAATTACAGGGCTAAATTATTAACCAAGTATATAAATACTACGTAATTTTATTCAATGTGTATGTCTTACAGGATCATTTACAAGACTGTCGTCTGATTGTTTAGTATATTGTTGTGATTAATGTGTTGTGGGAATAATGTGTTTTATCATAATGTGTTTTAAAACCCACACTTCATAGAGGGAACAACTAACAATACAATTATCATCAGAGAAGTTGAATGATGGGTGGGAAATGAGAAAACACGAGAAATTTGAATTATAATACTGATGATCAATTCAATAATTAACTTGGATGATATATGCGGGGAACCAACCTGTGCAACAGATGATAGGTTCTTCCTGTGAGATAATAAAGGTGAAGCGGCGATTCCTTCCTGACTGCTAAAAATGTACCGGTTCTCTCTTCACCAAAGTCAGGAAAGGAATGCCGAGCTACTAACCAAACGAAACCTACCAGTCTAGTCAAGTCCAGATCAACCCCTCCGACAATGTCTTACATATCTTGAGACCTTTTGACCATATCTGACACAGGTAAAAACCACAAGAGTGTATTTAAAAAGTCATCGTGAGAAATAGACTTGCCTTCAGTCGTACAAAAAAAAATCAAATTTAGAAAATGCCATGGGGGTTATAATACTAAAATAACATAACAACAACTGACCGCGAGTCATTGATAAATTGGACCAAGAAGTTTTGGCTGCAGAAATTGTGCGATTACCCTAGGAACGATTACTGAATATGAGCGGCATTATACTAGAACAATAATAAATGGATTTCTACCACACTGCACAATATTCCTCCATGCCTAAAGAAACACGTGCACCCAGAATTCAACCTTCGCGCACACCAGGCTCAATTCTCTTCAGCAGAGGTGCCAACAACATCGCCAGAAACCCAAGGGCGAAAACTCCTGCGAAGATGTAAAACAGAACAGTATAGCTTTCCGTGACATCGTAGATGGCTCCTGCATGTCACCACGTGAAAACGAAAGATAAAGAAAAGTTGTTATTCTTATCATTCTGACACTCTTACCACCGGAAATGTACTGAAAAGTACAATTACAAATGATACAATTAAAGGAACTTCTTTGAACTAAACCATTTTCTCCAGTGTAGATTCTTTTAAAGACATGGACGCAAAATTGGTGAATATAGAGAAAATAATTAGTTCTCAAGTACAAGAGGCATCACGGAGAACTCGATCAATCTCTTAGCCCCTCAATTTCGTCGTTTTTATCTTAATAAATTTACCAAAAAAATCTCAGAGTGGAAAACGATCGCACACTATAGCAGAGATAATCAGAATTCACCGATTTGACCCACCTGCTAAAATAGGGCCGATTAAATCAACTACGCCCCCGATGCCAGAGTAAAGTCCCACTGCCGACCCTAAATTAGCCAGGCCGACGTATTCCCGCACGAGGACAGGAGTGATGGTGCGCTGGAAGCCAATCGCTAATCCGAACAAGGCGGCGGAGAACATAAAGTACCCATACGTGCCAAACTGCGCCACCAGGACAGCACAGGCACTGGTGAACATAGACGCGTCAAAAATGATCTCTGACGACACCTTGTGGTTGATAAGTCCGCAGAATGGGCGTCCTACTAGACCACTGATACCAACCACACTGAGGAGAAAGGAGGCCTCCTGAGCGGGTATACCTGAGGACGTAGCGCGTGGGATGAGATAAACAAGGTAGCAGCCGAGAGAGAAAACAAAGGCACACTGTGCGAAGCAGAGCGCCGAAAAGCGGTAACTTTGCCAGAGCAACTTCAGTCTGAACACCTTGACCGCCCCGGACAAGCAAACCACTACACAGTGTGGGCTTCTACCCTCAGCACTTTGTTCAGTCGTCACCGGTGAGTTAGTAGACGCTTGTATTCTACGAGAAATTGTCTGCAGTTCCCCTTCGGGGTTGCCGTGCTTATTCACTTGTCTATTCTCCGTGGCTTGGAGAGGGCGCCGATTTGAACGGCAGACTGCCCCAGCCAAGCAAATGTTAGCGGTTATGGCGCCAGTTACAAGTAACGTTCCTCTCCAACCGTACGCATCCAGTAACATCTGCATCAAAGGACCAAACATCATTATTCCTATGCTATCTCCTGTGGTAACAAGGGCAATCACCACGGAGTAATATTTCTTGAAGTACTGGGCGACTATAACCACTGCTGGAGTATAGGCTATCCCGGTACCAGCACCTTGAAAAAAGAGAGGAAGGAGAAAATCGTGTTAGGTCTTTTTATCTTATCTTTTTAATCGGTCACTTTAGAAACATAAATGTGATACATCGGCGTATTGTAAGTAATATTATTTTGATATTATTGTTAATTTGATATTAATTACATCAAGTGATTGTTGAGTTCAGCAACTACTATCGTGAATAATTTTTCTTGCCTGCCAAGGCGCCCAAAACATACATCTGGTAGATATTTCCAGCCAGGGCTCCACCGACCATTCCCACAATATTGAGCAGACCACCAGCAACCATCGTTGGACGACAACCGAAGCGATTCGCTGCTGCACCGCCGAGAGCGCCTGCAATCAGAACATCGTCCGCAGGAAAAATGTGTCTTGCCAAAAGGTGTGAGTGACTGTGCAGTGGAGGTAAATGAATCTAGACCTTCAAGATTTGGAAGGAATGTGGTTATCGCTGCTGTGTGCTAGAGTTCCAGTTTACTGCAGGGTTCTGTCGCGGTAAGCAGATTATGGAACTCCATATAAATAATGATGAAGGAAGTAAGCTAAGATTGACGCCTGTAATACACACATATTTCAAGTCTCATTTCACCATTACAATTTACAGAAATAGATAGACCACGTTCATATACAATACGCATCTATGGAAGGAATTGTTAAACTGCGCACCCGCGGCGGTCAGCGGTTACTGACCGTGCAAGGGCGAAAGCTGGTCGTGATAACGACCTCTCGCGGTTGCCAGGCTGGTGAGAGACTACTTTTCAATCAAGGCGAACCCTTCCAATGGCTTTCATTACAAGGGATATTTGCAATATATATGATATTTGATATATCAGACGTACTATGTCTCCATAATACAAAACTGTGCGTGGTTCACTCACATCCGAAGAAGGAAGTAGCCGACAAGACACTAGAGATGGCCCCAGTCTGTGCAGTGGTACCATGGAATTCATTTTGAAAGGACGTAAAGAGAACTCCCGTGCATCGTGTCATTGCAGTGATGAGCAGATGAACGGAAAATGAGGCAAAAACAACAACTAAACTCCTTCCTGTGAATTCTGCAGATAAACGGCACTTTGCCATGACGATTCAGGTCAGCTCTGTTGAAAAGGAGAGACAAAAGCAGAGTTATATAGCATCTTGCAGATGCTTCCTTTAGTGAGCGAGAACCTCATTCCTTAGCTTTTTGGGCTCATCCATGAAATAAAGCAACTACATTGGTACAGGTCGGAAGTGGTTTATTTCTCCTTCATGTGGGTCTGGGTTACAAGGTTTAATGAGAGGTACCATGTACATGATGTATACTGACTGTTCATGGGTGTCGACAGAATTTTTCCCTGGGGAGTTTGCAAAGCACTTTTTTCCGGGGGGGGGAGTAAATCTCGAATGAAGAAAAAAAATTGGTGATGCTCATCCCCTTTCATCAAGTTTTTTTCATTGCTTTCTTTTTTTTCTCTCCCTTTTTTCAGTGGGCGTCCCAACCCCTCAGGCCTGACACATGAAGAGTTCATTAATGGCTTTGGGACCAACACAGGGCAATGCGCTCGGACAGTATTATGGGGAGAGATCTTTTCTTGGTAAAAGGAGCTGAGACAAAATAAGTACAGGAGGTTCAAGGCGGGGAAATGTAGAACTACTTTATGCGACGAAACTGTAAATTTATAAGCAAAAGCAAGATAGCGTCGTGAAGTACGTCATAATCTAGTGGTAATGTCGTCGTCGTTGTCGTCGTCGTCGTTGAGAAATGGAATGACATGTTTCCGGCCGGAAGTAAGGTCTCACCATACAAGCGCTACCATGAATTTTGACCAAATGATGCACTAAACAAACTGTGGCAGTTAACTGTTTACTGTTATACGACCGAGACTGCGTTGTTTCCACTGCGAGCCATGTTGCTATGATTCTCAGTTCCGTTGACAGATAAAAACTAGGCCTACACATACAGAGCACCACCTTGTGCAATGATTTTCGGAGCGAGTAAATTTCACTTGCCAACTGTCTGTGCGTGACAGTTGCAAATTGCATAAATTAAAGAATGCGATCTCAGATCGACGGATTATTATACCGTAATTTTAACGGTGTCGTGATAAATTCGTACATTGTCTGGGTAATTTAATATTATTTATAGTAATATGCATTTTATACTGAGCGGAATACAATCAGTGTTCGAAGCAGTCTTTAGTCTAAGACATGGAGAAACGCTCCGTGTGATATCGATCCGCCTGGTGATAGTTTGTGTCTATGAATGTTTTGGCGCCTCGAACCCAGTCCTCGACTACGTGTGCTGCGTGCGCGTTGAACCTTCAGGCATGGTGGGAACCAACATGGCGCGTCAAGATCGCTCCCATGGGAACGAGGTTGCTTCGAACCACGAATTTGTTTCAGCTGCAAAGTGACGAAAAAAGCAGACAGTTTTTGTAGCCCCTCAAATAAGCTAATTATAAATTTCAGGACATTTTCTTACATACACAGCGAATTAAATTTAAAGAGATACTTTCTTCCAGAACGTATACGTGAAGAGAGAAAGAGAGAGAGGGGGAGCTGGAGATAGCATCGCTGGAGAGAAGCATGAGTGAAAGTGATGTTCATTAGCAGTGTCGTCTCCTTCCTTGCGCTTGCCTCAGTCAGATGACGTAGCCTAACTGTTTCCGGTTCTCCGTTTTTATGGGCTACCCTTAACATGTTCCTGGTTATATATTGCTTGTCACAAACATGTTTCTGGTTAGGGATCGCTAAAACATGCCCGTGGAAGGCCTTGGAACCAAGGCCATGTTCCAAGTTCAATGTAGCATGATGGTAGAAATAGTATACTGTAAAGCCTACAGTTGAGTTGTATTTAAAGCGATATTTTGGATAACAAAAGTAACAAAATAATAGCCGAATGTGGAGCAAAATGCTTAACTGGATTCACCAGGCTAAAGCATTGTGTTGTGTTCAGCATCAATGCGTTGCGTAGCTTTGTATTCGGCTCGGTAAAATGGCCGCGAGTGGATTCAGTGATATCTATAAGCTGATTAAGCGTATTGCGAGTCCAGATTTTTTAATATACGTCCGTGACTCACACAGCTAGCTGGCGTACACACTTGTGGATTTGAGTCGTCTTTGAAGTCTCATGATTGTCGTGTGCGTTACAGCTGCATTATCACAGTCTAAAACTGGTCACCGAAGGTAGACCCTCGGTGCTCAAATCAAATTGAAATACTTCGATATTTGGCTCCGTTGCTAGTAGACAGACGTTTTGGTGGCATTGCCTGACAAGATAGCGAGCAAGCAAGTTCAAAGTTAGGAGGGCCTAAAAATGAGGCACACCTGAAACGAAAGCGAGTATTAGAGACACTCGAAATCGTCCGTAAAATTTTAAGAACAGTTATTTTGTGTCTCAGTCAAGGTATTCGTTAATTCACCCCTCCTATCAAAACAGGCATGGCCGACTGACTGGTCATCTTTTAGGCAAAGAAAGGATGACACTATTTTTACATAATTCCATTTCAAGTTTTTTGAATGTCACACGTGGAATGGAATCGTATTGCCGTGAAATTGTTGCATGATGTATAACTGCCATGTACCGGTACATGCATGAAGCTAGGAGCTTGTTCAATGTACATGTTCACTGTACATGAGCATAATACCAGTCATGACGTCGCTTTATTCTAAAAGTATGCACTATGTTAAATTAACTGTAGGCCTACATTCTTCAAAACTAACACAGACAAAACTTGACTTCATAAGCAAAGATATTGTAATCGTGACATTAAATCATGGTGGATTCAAACATCATATGCACATGATAAGAAGCGCTCTAGAAACCGTTTGGCGATCATAGATTTGATCTTTTTGTTTTTGTCATGTTTTGTTCGTTTGTATTTATAATCTTTTATATTTTTTATTTTTTGTTGTGGAGTTTTCCTTATTTTTATTTTTACTAATTACAACTTGATTTTTGTCATTTTTCTATTTTTGCCCCGTTTGCATTGTAACAATTTGCATTGAATTTCAGTTTGTCAAAGTTTATGTTTGCGTCTGATATGAGGCATAACAATTATTATATACTTTCAGTTTTATCTCAGGTTGAATTGTTCATGTACAATTTAACTATAAAAATGCATAACTTTACAGAAATGTTGGAAGCTTACCTTTCACAGATAATACTCCAAATTCACGTATTTTCCAAAACGACATAAGTTTTCACCGTGCACGGGTGAGCGAGTTATTTCGATGTGTGCGCAGTAACTCCCAGGTTATTAATGTGGGTGGTTCACATTTGAAGAGACAGTTAACTAAGTTTCTGCAAACTAGCCGCTCATCAGACTTGCTTGTTGCAAAAATTCCCACTTCCACACAGTCACGTCAATAGCATTTGACAGTTTACGGAAGGATATCAACTTACATGTAGGAATACACGCATAACTCCATTTGGAATTGGAAAGTGCGCACCCCTCCGAAGAGTTGCAAAATAAGTACATGTATAGAGATATTGCCCCCTCTCTCTTGAAACAGCATGACGTCATGTTTATTTTTAGATGCAGCATGCACTCGCCGTTAATTTTAAACTTTAACAAGCATATTTTGTGCAAGAGTTGAAATGAAAATGTAAAACGAAAATAAAATAAACTACTAAGATAAACGTATAGAACTGTTAGAGAATTTTTATGCTTGTAAGGAAATTGGCATAGAGATAAATTTTCACCCGCCAGTAAGTTGTGGCTATTAGGCCTACATCAACAATTTTCGAATTTTGGTATGGAAAATTTCGGAGATTTCCAGAAACGGAAGGAATTCGGGCTATGAAGACATTTCTCGGGCGGAACCAGGATTTTCCCTATAAAGGGGCGTAATCCTAGATTTTCAAAGGGGGGGGGACTAAAGCAATAATGGTAAAATGCCTGTAACGGACCATTTTAGTAATTTTGCCTATTATTTTCTTGTCTGGATACCAGACCCGATGATTCTGACTATCCGACGAATCAAGGCTCCGGTATCACCCATTGTCACGTGACCAGAACTGGAGGATTCCTCCAGTTTTCCGG